TATTATCTTCTTGTTAGCAGCTATGAAGTACCCCCCCCCCCCCCACACACACACACACAGTAATGGTGACCTGATGCCTGACAGGAGCAGATCATCCTCCACCCATGGGATCTTCAGAGGTAGATCACCAGGCCTTTCTTCCTAGCCCACCTTGGTCCAGAAACTCTACTGAAACCTTTCAGCATCACAGCCACACACACTTCCACTGTCAGCCGAGTGGCGGCTGTGCTTGAGGTGCATTGACCGGAAATCAAACCCGGTCCCAGCATGTTAAGTGAGAATTCTACCGCAGAGCCATCGCTAGCCCCAGGCAGGAAGAACAATACTAAGAAGCCTTCGCTGCCATCAAGTTGCTGTGGACTCATAGCAACCCTTTAGGACAGGGTAGAACTGCCTGCCCCTGTGGGTTTCTGAGACAGCAGGCCCGTTACAGGAATAGAAAAGCCCATCTTTGTGCCTCGGGAGAATAGAGGTTAATGCATTCGCTCAAGTGGACTAAGTAGACATCTACTAAGGGCTGCAACTGAGAAGGAAATGTAAGTAAGGTGCTTTGGGCAGAGCAGATGTGTGTTCAGCATCAGGCACCAGGGAGCCCCGATTTCATGGTTTTCATTAGGACAGAGCGGTGTCCCAGTTCCACTTGTCTGCAGCGCTTGCTTTTTCCTCCCCCCGGATGCGAGGATTTATGAGTCCCCTCTGTCTCTGCCCTCGTTGAGCACCACGGATGTGCCACCCATAATGTCCCTCTGTCTCAGAGACACTTTCCTGGACAGACTACACCCAAGTCCAGTAGAGTGGCCTCATTATGATCCCAGAGGCGAGCACAGAGACTGCAGGGCAACGTGGAGACAGCGGATCGCCTGGGTTCACTTCTCCCTCACCGATTAATTGTGCGATGTGGGACCAAACACTTAACATCTCAGGGCCTCGGTTTCCTCCACCTGTAACATGCAGGTAAAACTAGAGCTCACAGCCTGTGGGGGAAGATGAAGCAAGGACAGCATTACTGTTGGGGAAACCCACAGGGGCAGTTCTAGCCTGTCCTACAGGGTCACGGTGAGTCGATGTCAGGGAGTTTGGTGTTTGGTTTTGCATGGCTAGAATATTGTGTTTTTATTAAAATACTATCTTGACACAGTGTTGAGGCCCTGGCTGGAGGCTGGGCCCTCCCCTGTCTTGAAGAGCTGACTAAGTCCACTCTCCCACACTCCCCTTTCTCAGGCTCTCTTGTTCCTGGGCCACTATGCATCCAACCATACTGCCCTGGGACCAGGTACTCAACAACCAGGGACAGTCCCTACATCCCCCAAACCGGCAGAACTATTGGAAATACCCAATCACCAGGAAGCCCACAAGGCCTTGTTACCCCCATGTCCCTTGCCTTAAAACAGCCCTCTCCGAGGGCTCCCGAGGGCAGCCCTCCAGGTGGCCCTGACATGTGGCCTGCTGTGATCCTTCCAAGCAACTGTGAATCGAATAGATTTCTTTTTTCTTGGCAGCCATGTGTCCATGACTCTGTGTTTTCCCATACCTGATGGAACAAACCACAGGCATGCTCAAACAATGACGCCTTTGTTGGTATTAACTGCCAACGAGTTGTCCCTGACTCCTGGGACCTTGTGCACAACATAAATTGCTGCCGGGTTGGTTGCAGACCTAACAGGTGTGCTCTAGGGAGTTATTTGCCGATTTTCTTCAGCAAATCTCCAGGCCTTCCTTCCTAGTCCCTGTTAGTCTGGAAGCTCCATTGAAACCATTCTGCACCATGGCAACACACAAGCTTCCGTTGAGAGACAGGCAGTGGCTGTGCAGGAGGTGCCCTGGTCGAGAATCAAACCCAGCTCGCCTGCTTGGGAGGGAAGGATACACCTTTGTTAGCACGTTGTTAGCTGTTATCATCTGGTTTGCCTCTGAGCCTGATTCCTCATATGTAACTATGTCATATGTCATCTCGTTATTGAGTCCTAGTGACCCTATAGGACAGGGTAGAACTACGTGTTAAGTCCAGGTTGACTAGAGAAACAAATCCAGAGACACTCATGTATATGTGAGAGATCTTTATATCAAGACGTAATTAGGCATCAATAAAACATCCCTGCCCAGTCCTGATCAAGTCCATAAGTTCAATATTTGCCCCACGTCCAATATTAGCCCATCAATTCCTCTTCAGACTCATGCAGCACATGCAATGATATTGAATGCAGGCCTGTGGGTGGGAAGTCCTGTGGATCCAGTGGCAGTGGATGCATCTCCACGGCTCTTGCTGCCATCAGCGTGGCTCCATGTGGCTTGTCAACAGGAAGGTGAAACAGAGAGAGTGTGTCCAGAGAGGAAGAGAGAATGAATCCAAATGAAATGGCCATGCCCACAAGAAGGCATCACCAGGCTGGGATCTGATTGACAGGCTAGACCCCACCCCTTCATTATTATTTAACAAGTTGGCATGAAATTGTGTAACTACTACAAACTGCCCCTATGACTTTTTGGGACTGTAACTCTTTATGGGAGCACAAAACCTCACTTTTCTCTCAAGGAGCGGCTGGTGGTTTTGAACTGCCGACCTTGTGGTTAGCAGCCCAACTCATAACCCACAACACCAACAGGGCTCCTCTCCTTATATGTAAATGGGGCAGTAATACAAGCAGCAGCACGGTGAGCTGTTAAGAGGACTTTCAAGCTATGACTTTGAGTTACTTCTGAGACTGTTTACAGGAGTAGAACGCCCTGTCTTTTTCCTGCTGAGCGCCAGGTGGTTTCCTCCGCTGACCTTTCTAACTGCCACCCAACACGCAACCACTGCACTGCCAGGGCTCACAGCCATGCTGAAAACCAGGTTGGGCCATGTTTGCATCTTATGCATGTCCTTCTCTTTGAGGCTGAAGAAAGAGCAAGGTCTTCTTTGGAGGAAAGGAGGAGGAAGCAACTGAGGGCAGCCCCCCTACACGTGAAGGGCTATGCCTTGGCGAGGTGGGCAGATACAAGTGGTTGGCTGGCAGCCTGGGTGTCAGTACATGATCTGCCCCTGCCCCTGCCAGGGTGGGCTGGATGGGTGAGATCTGGAGGGGATGAGATTGCCTGGTAGCCAGTGGATGGAAAGGACCTGGGTGGAGATCTGGGCCACACCAGTCTTTTAACAAAGTCTCTGTGCTGCCATTCCCTCTGTGGAAGGCTGAGCCCAGCTCTGCTTACTGATTCTCAGAACACTCAGAACCCCTAATGGCATCCCTGTCCACTTTGATTTGCTTCCTTTTGTTTTTCTCATGATACTAGTTGAGTCAGCTTTGACTGATGGTGAGCTCAGGTACGATCGAACATGTTGTCTAGTCTTGTACCCCCTTCCCCACATGGGCATGCCTGACGTCCACTATTGGGGCCACGGTGTTTTGAGTGTCTTCCAACCTAGGGGGAGTCCTGGTGGCATAGCTGTGACATGTTGGGCTGCTAACTGCAAGGTTGGCAGTTCGAAACCACCAGTCACGCCCCTCCACTCTAGCTACAGTCTTGGAGACCCACAGAGGCGGTTCTACCCTGCCCTGTAAGGTCGCTCTGAGTTGGAAATGGCTCCGTGGCATGAGTGTTTTGGAATTTCCGTCCTAGGGAGTTCATCTACAGCCCACTATCCTTTTTGGAGGGATTTCCTGGCCTTTCTTCTTACTCTTAGTTTGGAAGCTCTGCTGAAACATATCTACTATGAAGCACCGTGAAATATCAGTGGCAGAGCTTCCAGTATCATAGAAACATGCAAGCCATCACAAGATGACACGTGGACAGAGGGGTGGGTAGTATCCACAGCTGATAACCCTTATCTAGTGCGTGCCTCCTTGTTTATGCATCTGCTCCCCTCCACTGCAGAGAGTAGCAT